AAATTATTATTAACTACTATTTATTAATTAATTACTACTTATTATTATTTATTTATTACTATATTAATGTATTTTTTTATTTTATATATAAAATTAACTTTGAATAATAATAATATTTATTAATTAATAATTAATTATATAGTTTCTACTGTTTAAAAAGACTTTTTTGCAAATTTATTGCTGTAAATAAATCAAACGAGGTCAATAAATAAATAAAGATAAAAAATGAATAAAATTAAAAAACTTAATAAAAAAATCAAATAAAAGAGAAAAATATCAGAATCAAATAACAAGTAAATAATAATCAAAATAAATGGAAAATATACAAATCAAATTAATGGAAAGTAAATAAAAAAATTTTTCGCAAGAATTTCATTTTCTCACAAATAATAATATTTTTTAGAGCAATTCAATTATTTTCAATACAATTTTAATAAAATTTCTCAAAAGAATACAATTTTTTTAAAAATATTATTTAAATTCAATTATTTTCGACAATTTTGATGAAATTCTTTTAAAAAATCATTATTTTCAAAATTTTTAATAAAATTACTTCAAAAAATTCAATTATTTGCAAAAATTCAAAAAAAATTCTTCGTATCAATTGAATTATTTTTATAAATTGTAAAATTCTCCGAAAGAATTTAAATAATTAATTTCATAAATAAGAAAATTCATCGCAAGAATTAAAATATTCACATAAATAATAAAATTCTTCAAAGGAATTCAATTATTTTCAAAAATAATAAAAGTGTTTTGTATGAATTCAATTATTTTCAATACAATTTTAATAAAATTTCTTAAATGAATACAATTATTTTTAAAAATATTATTTAAATTCAATTATTTTCAACAATTCTGATAAAATTCTTCGAAACAATTCAATTATTTCCAATTCAATTATTTTTAAGAGTTTTAATAAAAATTCAATTATTTCCAACAATTCTTATAAAATTCTTGTTAAGAATTCAATTATTTTTATAAATTGTAATAATATTCTTCTAAACAATTCAATTGTTCTCAAAAGTTTTTAATAAAAACCTTTGTACATTTCAATTATTTTCAAAATTTTCAATTAAATTTATTTTTAAAAATTACATTATTTTTACGAAATTTAATGAAATTCTTTTAAAAAAATGTAATTATTTACAAAAACTCGAATAAAATTGTTTGAAAGAATTTAATTCTCTATGAATAATTTAAAAATATTTTAATAGGAAATTTATTAATTACCTACAATTAATAATAAACACGATTATTTTAAAAAATTAAAAGAAAATCATCATATAAAATTCAATTACTTTCACAATTTTCAGTAAAAATTATTTTAAAAAAACTCCATTATTTTCAAGAAAATTGAAATAAATTCTTTAAAACAATTCAATTATTCTAAAGCATTTTAATAAAAATCATGCCAAGAATCAAATTATTTTCGAAAATAATTGAATTTTTTCGATAAATTTCATTAAAATTGTATTGAAAATATTTCAATTCTCATAAAGAACTCAATTAAAATTTTTCCATTCAATTTTAATTTTTGCGAAGAATTTTATAAAATTTTTAAAAATAATTAAATTCTTTTAAGAAATTTTACCAAAATTTTTTGAAAATAATTGAATTTCTGACGAAAAATGTTATAATTATCATTTTTTTTTTAATAAATGTATTCATTCGAGAAATTTTTTTAAAATTTTTCTAAATAATTAAATTCTTTCGTGAAATTTTATTACAATTTTTCTAAATAATCGAATTCTTTCGAGAAATGTTATTTATTATGAAAATAATTGAAATCTTGGTAAGAATTTGAACAAAATGTTTCAAAGTAATTTAATTTCTGCAAAGAATTTCATTACAATTTTTTTAAATAATTAAATTATTGCAAAAATTTGTATAAATTGTGAATTAAAATTGTATTGAAAACATTTCAATTCTCATAAAGAATTGAAAAAATAACTGTTTTCAAAGTAATCTTGCCAAGAATTAAATTATTTTTAATACAATTTTAATGACATTTTTTCGAAAGAATTCAATTATTGTAAAAAATGTTGATAAAATTTTTGAAATAAATATTCAATTATTTTCAAATTTTTTAATAAATTCAAGAATTCAATGATTTTCAGTATATTATTCTAAAATTGAAAACGTTTAAAAAGAAAAATTATTTAATTAAAAAGTTAGGAAACAAAATAGCAAATAATAATAATAATAATAATAATAATAATAATAATAAAAACAATAACAAAAATAGAAAAAGAAAAAATATAGAATAAATTCATTTAAATTCGAATAAAAATAAAAAAATGACAATGAAAAAATATTGCAGTAAACAAAATGAGAAAAATAGCAAAAGTTTGTTTTTTTCGAATTGAAAATTGAGAGAGTAAAATTCTATTATGACACACATACAAATACATTTAATTAAAGTGAATTTAAATGTGTCTCGGAACAAGTTAACAGTCCACGATCTCGCCAATTAGAGCAAGGGAGTTAGTTTTAAATTAGAGTTCATGAAACCGCTCTTTGTTCATATGATAGATCAAATTAATCAAGGACTTTGCGTATATACAAACACACAAACTCTGAATGAATCATATTATGTCTCCTTCTTTCATTCTATTCTCTCTCTATATATATATATATATATATATGACAATTTTAAAAGGGGACTAATGGAAAATGCCTCTTTAGTCCGTTGAACTATTATTTATATATAAATGACTAACAACTATATATCTATAATATGTATCAAATAAAACGCGCGAAACATTTTATTTAAAGATTCATCATCATTTTACGGGTCATTGAGTCTTTATATTTTTATTTGTTTATTAAAAAATAAAATTTTTATTACTTTTTCTTTTATTAAATAGGTCAAGTATTTTTAATTCAATAACGATCTGAAAATATAGACAGCATTTCAATTTCTTTTTTAATGCAGGAAGTAAGTTTTTTTTATATTTATGTAACTGCCCTGAATAATAGAAAAAAAAAACAAATAAAGAAAAAAACAATTAAAAAAATAGAATAATTCTTGAATTGTTATTGTTAAATTGTTATTATTTATCTATTTTAATAAATTTTTAATGTTTGTAATTTTTTTATAGTTACTGTTTTTGAATCTTTAGAAGTTTCTTTAGTAATCTTTAGAACTCACAACATTATTGAATTATTTCAAAAAAATTTAATTAAAATTGTATATTTAAAATAATTCATTTCTTTTGAAAAATTTTATTAAAATATTTGAAAATAATTCAATCCCTGTGAAAAATTCTAATATTTTTGTAAATAATTGAATTCTTCCAACGAATTAAAAAATAATTTTTTTAAATAATTGATTTTTTCAAGGAATTGAAATGACATATTTCAGAATTATTTATTTTGTAAATAATTGAATTTCTGACAAAAAATGTTATAATTATCATTTTTTTTTTAAAATGAATTCTTTCGAGAAATTTTATCAACATTTTTGAAAATAATTGAATTTTTGACTAAAAATGTTATATAATTATCATTCCTTTTTAAAAAAATGAATTCTTTCCTTATTTTAATTATTTATAATTTTATAATATCTACTATTTTAATAAAATTTTCCAAAAGAATTCAATTATTTAAACAAAATATATCAATAAAAATTTTTAAACGAATTCAATTACTTATCAATTTTTTATAAATTTCTTCGCACCAATTCAATTATTTTTAATTTTTAAATAAAGTTTCTCAAAGGAATTCAAAAATATTCAGAAAATTAAAAAAAAAATTATTTAAAAAAATTTGAATAAAATTCTTCACAAAAAATTCATTATTTCATAAATAATAATATTTTTCACCGGAATTCAATAATTATTTTCACAAATAAAATTCTTCACAGGAATTCAATTCTTTAAAAAAATTTTTAATAGAATTCGTTGCAAGAATTCAATTATTTTATATAATAATAACAAAAGTTATCGCAGAATTTCAATTATTACATTCTCATTTTTTGTACAATTTTAAATAAAATGATAGAAAATTGCATTTATGCCTAAAATTTTTTTTTAAATTCACCGAGAGAATTCAATTATTTAAAAAAATTTTTGGTAAAATTCTATATAAAAATTCAATTTTAAGAAATATTTAATTATTTAATAAATTATTTATTTTTGTATTTAAATAATTGAATTCTCAATAATTTTTCTAATACAAATTTTTAAAAATTTTTTTAAAAAAATTCGTTGCAAGAATTTAATTATTTTTTATAAATAACAAAACTTATCGCAGAATTTCAATTATTTGTTGTACAATTTTAAATAAAATGATAGAAAATTGCATTTATTCTTAAAATTTTTTTTAAATTCACCAAAAGAATTTAATTATTTTAAAAATTTTTTGATAAAATTCTTCATAAAAATTCAATTTTAAGAAATATTCAATTATTTAATAAATTATTTATTGTTGTATTTAAATAATTGAATTCTCATAAAATTTTCTAATAAAAATTGATTAAAAAATGAATTTCACTTAAAATTTTAAATTATATAAATGAATATTAAAAGCGTTATACCGTGGATTTTTTTTTTTTAAATAATTGAATTTTGAAAAGGGTTAAATTAAAATCTTTGAAAATTTGAATTTATAGTGAAGGTTTGAATTTGAAAATCTTATTAATTCCTATAGAATAATAATAGGTAATAAATAATAAAAATAATAAATAATAATAAAATTAAAAAATAATTAATATTAATAAATAATAATAAAATCAAAAAATAATTAATATTAATAAATAATAAATAAATAAAAAAATAATAATAATAAAAAATTAATATTTATTTAAAAAAGAAGTTATTGATGTTTTTGAATAATTTTACAATTTTATTCTTCAGGGTCAGGGAAAAAGTGAAAATTTTTTCTGGAAATCAGGGAAAAAGAAAATAAAATTTTTTGTTGCAACCCTGTTCTTTTATAAAACTTTCGGATTTATGAATGTTACTAATTTTTTTTTCTTATTCGTTTTGAATTTTCAGTTGCAAATGGAAATAATGAGGGCGAAATGGTGCCACCGGACGGCGGTTGGGGTTGGTTTGTACTCCTGGCAGCGGTAATGGTAAATCTTTTAATTCCCGGCGCTGTGAAATCATTTGGAGTTTTATTTGTCGTTTATCTTGAAGTTTTTAATACAACTCCAACGGAAGCATCATGGATTCCAGCACTTTGTTACTTTCTTTATAGTTCATTAGGTGAGGAAACAAAAAATTTTTTTTTCCTTTTTATATTTTATAATTAAACAACAATATCGATAAATAGCAATTTATTTTCTCTCGTTATTATTTTTTTTTAAATTTCTTTATGAAAAGAAAATTATCTTTTTTTTTTTGAATTTTCATTTCATCGAATTTTTATTTTTAACGAATTTTGCTGATTATATTTCTTCAAATATTTGTATTTTGTATTCTTTAATAAATTAATTAATTATTATTTTTAGACAATATTATTATTAATATTAAACTTTTTTCAGGCCCTTTATCAAGTATACTTTCTGTTAAGTATTCCTATCGAACAGTCACATTAATTGGTGGAACTTTCGCTGCAGTGGGAATGATGTTAAGCTATTTTGCCAATTCAGTTACATTTCTCTACGTCAGGTTGGTCCTATTTTTATTATTTATTTCTTTTTTATTAATTAATTTCCAAATTTTATTTTCCAATGAATTTTATTTTTTCTGTTATTTCATTGAAAGAATTATGTTTACATTTAAAAAAAAAGAAATACATAAGGAAAACAATTAATTGAAAGGACAAAAAGAGAAAAATTAATTGAAAATAAATTTTAATTAGCAGCTAATTAATTAATTTTCCTTTTGTTTTATTTTTTGATACTAGTTATGGAGTTCTCGTTGGTGCTGGCGCAGGTTTGGCCTTTCCACCGACTGTTTATATCGTGACCTCATACTTTGTAAAAAAACGAGGCCTCGCAAATGGCCTCTGCATTTCTGGAAGTGCCATAGGTTCAATTATTCTTCCCCCTCTTCTCAGGTTTCTACTTCAAGAATACGGATACAGGTGAATATTCATTTGCATTTTAAATTATACAAATAAGAAGCGCAAAAAAAAAAATTTTTTTTTTGACGCAAAATTATTATTAAATTATTAATTTTAATTATCTTATCAGAAATTAATTAAATTTTCATTTTTTTTATAAACAATTTATCTTAAAGTTTTTTTCTGAAAATTAATATGTAACTCCTAATTTAAGAAGTAAAAATTACAGAATTGATTTAATTAATTAGAAGCGCAAAAATTACGAGCGAAACGCTGTATTTCATTTTTATTATTATTATTATTATTATTTTTATCCAAATTTGATACAATTCTTTGCAGAAATACAATTACTTTAAAAAATTTTGGCAAAATTATTTACAAGAATTCACCTATTTTTACTACAATTTTAAATTCTTACCGAGATTTCAATTATTTTTATAATTAATAACATTTCTCGACAAACTTTAATTATTTAAAAAAATTGTAATAAAATTTTTCGAAAGAATTCATTTAATTAAAAGAAATGATAATTATAACATTTTTCGTCTGAAATTCAATTATTTTTAAAAAATTTGGGTAAAATTTCTCAAAAGAATTCAATTATTTTTAAAAATTTTATAAAATTCTTCGCAAAAATTAAAATTGAATGGAAAAATTTTAATTGAGTTCTTTATGAGAATTGAAATATTTTCAATACAATTTTAATAAAATTTCTCGAAAAAATTCAATTATTTTCGAAAATAATTTGATTCTTGACATGATTTTTATTAAAATTCTTTAAAATAATTGAATTGTTTTGAAGAATTTATTTCAATTTTCTTGAAAATAATGGAGTTTTTTTAAAATAATTTTTACTGAAAATTGTGAAAGTAATTGAATTTTATGAAGAATTTCTTTCAAGTTTTTAAAATAATCGTGTTTATTATTAATTGTAATTAATAATTTTTTTATTAAAATATTTTTAAATTATTCATAGAAAATTAAATTCTTTCAAATAATTTTATTAGAGTTTTTGTAAATAATTGCATTTTTTTTTAAAGAATATCATTAAATTTCGTAAAAATAATATAATTTTTAAAAATAATTTTAATTGAAAATTTTGAAAATAATTATTGAAATTCACAAAGAATTTTATTAAGAACGTTTGAGAACAAATGAATTGTTTAGAAAAATTTTATTACAATTTTTAAAAATAATTGAACCTATTAGAGAAAGTTTATTAAAATTATCTTGAATATAATTAAATTTTTTCCTAAAAATTTTATTAAATTTGTATTCAATATAATAGAATATCTGAAAAAATTTTATTATTTAGAAAAATAATTGAATTCTTGCGACGGATTTTACAATTCATAAAAATAATTGAATTCTTTCGAAGAATTTTATCTAAATTTTTGCAAATAATTGAATTTTTTGAAGAAATTTTATTAAAAATTCTGAAAATAATAATTTTTTAAAAATAATTTTATCAAAATTTTGAAAATAATTGAATTGATATTAAAATTATTGAAAATAATCGAATTCAATTAATAATTTTTAAAATAATTGTATTGCTCTAAATAATTTTATTATCTATGCGAATATTGGAATTCTTGCGACAAATTTTATTAAAATTTTTTGAATAATAATAATAAACAAAAATATTTAATATTATGTACTTAAAAAAAGAATTCTTTAAATTTTGAATCCGTAATATTTCAAAAATTGATGATTATTTTTGAAAATTTTTTAATTTACAAAATAATAATAAATGGAATTTGCTAGTTATTTATAAAAATTGAAAGAGCATCCTTTATAAAATACAATTAATTTTTCAATTTTTAAATAAAATTATTCGCAAAATTATTTAAAAGAAATTCAATTTCAAATATGAAAAGTTCAATTATTCTTAAAAATAGAAAGAATAAAAATTAAATATTGAATATTTTCTTTTCTTAAAGGTTCTTGCGTTCCGAATTTTCTTATGAATTCTAGAAATTGAATATTTTTCCAGTACTTTTGATAAAATTCTCTGACTTTTCCTTGTTAAATTTTACTTTTCCTAACTTTTCCCCGATTTTTCCGATATAATAACAAAAATTGCAATAAAAATAATATCGTAATTTTTTTCCAGAGGGTCTGTCCTGATAATGGGTGCAATAATGTTAAACGTATGGGCAGCTGGTTTACTCTATCAACCAGTGGAAAATCATTTGATCCCAGCGAAAGTGAATGATAATGTTGATGTTGAAACGGAAGAGAATGAAAATAATGAGGAAGATGTTGTTGAGGAGGAGGCAGAGGAAAACAATGATGATGAAAATAATATTGGGACCACAATAACAGTGACAAGTCCAGATGATGATGATATTAATAAGACGAAAAATCATTTAATTGTCACCGCTAATAATTCAATAAATAGTAATTCAAAAATTAAAGTTAATGCAGCAACGCCATTTGTTCCAAAGAGTGCCTCGAGTGTTGCTCTTGAAAATTATAAAAATTCACCAGTCCAAGGGAGAATGAGAAAAATAAGTATGCCAACGCCAAGTGCAAGGGAAATAAGTGGTCAAATGCATAGCACACCGGCATTACATGTTGTACCCGAAAGAACAATACGAAGGCGTGCACCAACAAAATCGCCGAGTTCATCATCGTTTCATTATGTCAGCACACCTTATCATGGTAATTTTTAAAAAAGAAATTCTTTTTAGTTATTTAAAGAGAATCCATTAAAATCCGTTAAAAAGAATCCATTAAAAAAAATTATCCGAAATTCGTTATAAATCTCTTTCTAATTAGAAGTGCTTCCTCGGTTAAATATTTCAGATTTTTCACATTCCAGTTATTTAATTCTTTAGCTAAAAAAATTTGTTTTTAGAAAATGAAAATTTTTAAAAAATTTATTTATTTCTTTTTTATTTATTTATTTATTGAATTAAATATCTAAACGCGCTTACAAAAGGAAAAAATCGACAATATAAACAATTGGACAAATGGAAACTTGTAAAAAATGAAAATTTGTTTTCAGCAAAATAAAAATTCTGATAAATAGAAATTCTTTGAAATGAAAGTTCGACAAGATAGAAATTCAAGCAAATGAATATTAAATTAAGTGAAAATTGTCACATTAAAATACCACTAAATATTGTAATTGTGACTAGAATATTCTGTACAATTTTCACTCTAACAAATTTTCCATTTTTTTAAATTTGTGTTTAAAAAAAATTACAATTTTGTCTAGTTTTTGATTTGTTTTTCAATGCAATTTGAATACAATTTCTCGAAAAAAGACAATTATTTTTAAAAATATAAATTAAATTTGATTATTTTCAACAAATTTTGATAAAATTCTTTGGAGGAATTAAATTATTTTCATTAATAATAAAATTCTTGGGAAGAATTCAATTATTTTCAAAATTTTTCGAAAGATTTCAATTCTTTTCTATAGAAGAAATTGATTTTTATATAATTTTTTAAGAGTTTTTGTAAATAATTAAATTCTTTTGAAGAATTTCTTCAAGTTTTTCTGCAAATAATATAGTTTTTTGAATAATTTGAAAATAATTGAATTAAACAAAGAATTTCGTTCAAACTTTTTAAAATAATCGTGTCTATTAATAATTATAATTAAACCTTTGTTTTTTGAATATTTGTTAAAATTGTATTGAAACCTAAGTGATTCTTCGAAAGAATTTTATTATTTATAAAAAATAATTTAATTGTTGAGATGAACTTTACTACTTATAAAAATAATTGAATTGTTTCGAAGAATTTATAAAAATTTTAGAAAATAATTGAATTTTTTTTAAAAATATTATTAAAAATTAAAGAGAAACTGAATTTTTTCATGAAATTTTAAAAATTGAAGTAAAAATTACTGAATTCCTCTTATGAATTTTATTAAAAATAATTGAATTCTTGCGAATAATTTTCTTAAATTATTTAAAAATAATTAAATTGTTTTGAAAAATTTTATAACTAATTAAGAAATAAATTGAATTCTTTCATGGAATTTTATTGAAAGTATTTAAATTTTTTCAAAGATTTTACTATATTTAAAAATATAATTTAATTCTTTCATGGAATTTTAATAAAATTTTTTTAAAAAATTGAATTCTTCTATGGGATTTTTTTTAAAAATCGTTTTAAAAATAATTGAATTTTTGCAAAGAATTTTACTATTTATAAAAATAATTGAATTATTTCGAAGAATTTATTAAAATTTTTTAAAATATTTCAATTCTTTTGAAAAATTTAAAACAAATTAAGAAAAAAAAACTTTATTTTTTCGTGAATTTTTATTGAAAATATTTGAATTTTTGCAAAGATTTTACTATTTAAGAAAATTGAATTCTTGCAAATTTTTTCGACGAATTTAACTAAAATTTCATTGAAAATAATTGAATTCCTCAAAAGAATTTCATTAGTTATAAAAAATAATTTAATTTTTGCCATTTTTTAATGAAATTTTATTAAAATTGTATTGTAAAATTTCTCTGATGAATTTTATTATTTATAAAAAATAATTCAATTATTATTTAAGAAAATAATTGAATTCTTTCATGAAATTTTATTTAAATTTGATTGAAAATTGAATTTTTGCAAAAAAAATTTGACTATTTATAAAAATAATTGAATCCTTCCGAATATTGTTATTATTTAATTGAAAATAATTGAATTCTTGCGAAGAATTATTTAAATATTTTTGAAAATATAAACAATAATATAATGAATTATATTTTCCCTTTTTGCAGGAAGTACATTATCAGCCCTTCATCCAGAGCATGCATCAACATTAACATTGAACGCAATAACAAATACATTCCGGAAATCACCTGAGAAGAAAGCATCCGGAAAAGTGAAAACCGAGCCAGAGACGAGATTTTTTGACTTCAGCCTCCTCAGGGATCCACTCTATTTAGTAATATTGATCTCAAACTCAACAAATGCATTGAGCTATACAAATTTTGTGATTCTACTGCCAAATTATGCGAACGATTTACATTATACAAAAAATCAGGGTATGCTATTATTGCCAATTGTTTCAATATTTGATTTAATTGGTCGTATCGGCGGTTCGGCATTGTCCGATAAAAATTTAATGCCTAAACATTGGTATTTCGTTGGCGGTCTATTAGTGTCGGGTATTTCATTAACAATATTACCATCGGCAACAAGCTACACAATATTATCAATTTACAGTGGTATTTTTGGTTTAGCTTCGGGTATTTATGTTGGTATTACGGCGGTGATTATGGCCGATATGCTTGGCACGGAAAAATTAACATCTTCCTATGGTATTTCATTATTTGTTAATGGCGTTGTACAACTTATTGGTCCGCCAATTGTTAATTCTATTTATGAGAGAATCGGTACACTCGGGCCTATTTTTGCCGTTCTTGGAATTGTTTTAATTGTTGGCGCATCACTTTGGGGTTTCGTGCCATTTATTCGACGAAAGCGGGAGCGTGAGGGGCAAATTTTGGAAAAATGTTAATTCCTCTAGAGAGGCAATAACAAGGAATGTTTTCTAAAAAATTGTTGATTAGAATTTCATTTTACGAGTTTATTTTTTTTTTCGTTTATTTAGAATATTAATGACGAGACTCTTTGAGACGAAAGAATTTTTATTCCATTCAGTGAAAGTAGAATTGGTCAGGAAAATCAGGGAAAAGTCAGGAATTTTTATTAAAGCACCGGAAAAAATTGAATTTTGGAGAAGTTACAAATTATTGCAGAAATTCAATTACTTTTCAAATAAAATTCTTCGCAAAAATTCAATTATGTTCAAAATTTTTTTAAAAATTCTCCTCAAAATTTCAATTATCTTAGAATTATTATTTTTAAAATAATTGAAAAAGATAATTGAAAGATAATTTAAAAATTATTCAAATTCTTCTCCAAAATTCAATTATTTTCAAAATTTTCAATATAATTCAATTATTATCATAAATAATAAAATTCTTGTTAGGAATTCAATTATTTTCATAAAAATGAAACTCATCGCAGAATTTCAATTATTTTTAATACAATTATAAATATGTATTTCCTCAAAAAGTGCATTTCTTAATAATTTTATTAAAATTCTTCTAAAGAATTCAATTATCTTCATAAATAATAAAATTCTTCAAAGGGATTCAATTATTTTCATTAATAATAAAATTCTTGGGAAGAATTCAACTATTTTTAATACAATTTTAATAAGATTTCTCGAAAGAATTTATTTATTTTCAACATTTTTAATACAATTATTCGCAGAAATTCAATTGTTATTTTCATAAAAAACAATATTTTGTATAGAAAGTCGATTTATTTTTAGAAATTTAAAAAAAATTCCTATTCAAGAATTTATAAATATTCAGAAATAAGTTAATTCTTCGCAAAAAGTAAATCATTCTTAAAAATGTAATTAAAATTCGTCGAAAGAATTCAATTATTTAAAATTTTTAATACAATTTCAATCAAATTTCTTGAAAAATGCAATCATTGTTAAACATTTTATTAAAATGCGTCGAAAGAATTCAATTATTTAAAATTTTTAATACAATTTTAATCACTACTATAATTGAATTTTTGCAACGAATTTTATTACATTTTTTTTTTTAAATAATTGAATTCTTTTGAGAAATTTTTGTTAAAATAGTCGAATTTGGAAAATATTTTAATTTCAGCGAAGAATTTCCTTATTTATTTCTTGTAAAAAATTTTTGAAAATAATTACATACATTTTTCAAGGAATTTATTTAAAATTGTATTGAAAATAATTGAAATCCTATGAAAAATTTTATTATTTATGAAAATAATTAAATTCTTACAACCAATTTTATAGCATTTTTAAAAATAATAGAATTCATTGGAAAAATTGTATTATTTGTTAAAATAATTGAATTTTTGTGAATTAATATTTTTTTTTTTTTGAGAAATTTTTATAGAATTTGAAATAATTGTAAAACACGAATTTCCAATTAAATGGGAAAATTTAATTTGAATTTTTATTTTACGGAATTTTTCTTTTTAACTTAGTTTTTCTATTGAAATAGAAAAATTTATATTGAATCGAGGCGTTAATTTTCGAGAAATGTTAATTTGTCAGGTTTTTCTTTTGGAAAAAGTTATGAAAAATTTTTATTTTTTCTAAAAATTTTTAACTTGAATTTTATGTTTAAATTTCTTTTTCTTGATTTAAAATAATATCGATAGAACTTTTCCTGACAAAAGAATTTTCATTCTATGGAATTTTTCTACTTAACTTGAATTTCTATACTTAATTCGAGATTAATCGAAAAATAATTTTGATTAATTAAAAAATTGAGAAGTAGAAAAACTCGCGTTTCAATTGAAAAGAAAATGTTGTTTCGTTACAAAATTAAAAAGTAAAAAGATTCGGTTCACAGGGGAAAGAAATTTTGGCTAATTAACAAATTAATTAATAAAAAAATTCGATGAAGTAGTGAAATTAGGAATAAAAGTTTAGATTTATGAAATTCGGACTAATTATTATGATTATTAATATTATTATTTTTATTACTATTTTTATCATTATTTTTATGACTATTTTTATTATTATTATTTTAGGAAAACATTCTTTGTGTTTTGTTTTATGGAAAAGAGAAAAACTGAGCGCAAGATTTATATTAATTAGAAAATAGAAATTAACTTCGAAAAATATTACAAGCACGCAATTTTCGTTTTTTTATTGATAGTTAATCAATTTTTTTTATATACTTCTAGTTTCAATGACTGTAGTTATATTTTACTTATGAAAAACGAAATTTTCTCTAATGAATGAACATTAAACATTTATTTTTAATGTGTAAACGTTCATTAAAGAAAATTACCGATGAATTAGATTTAATTGAATAATAATTGAAATCTATTGACAAAAATTTTTACTTTTAAAAATAAAATAATTGACAATTTTTATTAACATTTAGATTTAGAAAAAAATATATTGTTAAAAATTAGCGACTGATATAATTGTATTATTATTATTTTTTTAAAAATATTTTTGTCAAGTAAGAGATGAAAATTTTTTTCAAATTTTTTTTAGCAAAACAGACAAAAATCGATTGTCTGATTGATAAACAAAATATATAATTCTATCTTGTACTCAATTTATTTTTAAACTAATTGAAATATATATTTAGTACTGTTTTTTTAAATATAGATCAATTATTCTTTTAATTTTAAGATTTTTTGTTTGTTTGAAAAATTAATTTAATTTTAGTAATTTTATAAGTCGAAGTGAAAAATAATAGGTCTTCCTTAAATCGAACAATATTTTTTTATTTTCGATGATAATAATATTGAAAAATTGGGTCATGAAATTTTCTTTTTATAAAAATGAGAAAAAGTGAAATTAAAATTAGTTTTTTGCATTGATAATGAAATAATTTATGTAAAGAATTATTTAAAATAGTCGAATAAATTACAAAAGAAAAACGAAAAATACATAAATATCGCACTGACCCAATTATTCGATTCAGAAATAAAAGAACAAATTTTTTCTTTCTTTTAAATAATTTTATACACTTATTTAAATAATTATGTAATTTTTATTATGCGTGAAAGTTAACAAAAAATACGGTTAATGTGATCATGTTTTCTGTGATCTACGATATTTTATAAATTACAAAACACAAAAAAAAGCTACATGTAGTATTGTATTTTTTGTCCTTAATTAATAAGAGACGACCACATGCACTAGCGAGTATATTTTTTCAAATTTCGAATTTAGAAAAAAAGACAAAAAAAAGACCTTTTTAAAATGGCAATCGATGTGAATTTAAAAAAAAACAAAAGAAAATAAAACAACAATAACAATAAAGAAAAAGCGTAAATAAGTGCGAACTTTTTTTATATTCTACCTTATTGAGAAGAAATTATTAATTAATTTTATTATTGTTGGACATTTTTTTCTTATAAACAATTTATTCATATTTTTGTAGATTATAATAGTAATTAGTTAATATTCATTGAATGTAATTATTTGCTAATATTTAAATTATTAATTAATACTATTAATGATGACAATATTTTCCTATTTTTTATATTTTATTATTAATATTTTGTAAAGTCTGAAATAATTTTTCAATATATTGTTGTAAATAATTTTTTCTCCATAAGGTGTTTTGCATAAACAGCATCTACAGTATTTTTAAATTGATTCTCTTTTTTTATCTCTTTCTCTCTCTCTCTCTCTCTCTCTCTTTCTCTCTCTCTCTCTCTCTCTCTCTCTCTCTCTCTCTCTCTCTCTCTCTCTCTCTCTCTCTCTCTCTCTCTCTCTCTCTCTCTCTCTCTCTCTCTCTCTTTGAATTTTCTCTCTCATTTAGAGAATTATCTTTTAAAATTGCCAAAATAGAAAATGCATTTTTTTTATAGAAGAAAAATTTCTTTTTACACCAAAAAAAAATTTTTTTTTAAAAGTAAACCTTTTTCTGTCAACAAAATAATTTTTTATAACAGTGTGTGTTTAATTTGTTTTCAATAAAGCTTTTTCATGTATATGAAAAAAATAAATAAATAAAAAAGAATGGAGAGAATGAAAAATATATAATAGTGGAAAAAATGTGAATGGAAAGTAAAAGAGAAAAAAATCGCGAATATAGGATTTTATAGATAAATAAGTAAAATAAATAAAAGAATAATAACAAATTTGGCAAATGATGAAAAAAAAAATTCAAAGTATAAAATAAAAATAATACTGAACTTATAAGTCAAAATGTAAACAAAAAAATATTTTTAAGTTTAGTAAAAAAAATAAGAAAGTGTGTAAAAAACTTCACGATAAACAATTAACATTAATTAATCTTAATTAAATTCACTAAATAAACACTAAATTAATAAAAAAAATTAAAACAACTGTGTTAATTCAATTCTAATTGAAAATATAAAAATAACTCAATTTAATTAATTAACTTTAAAGGAGAATTCGCTAAACTTTTATAATATAATAGTTTAAAAATCTTTTAAGTTCGATAATTAAATATTAATTTAGTTAATTAACTATTAATTTAGTGAATTAATTAAATATAAATTTGGTCAATTAATTAAATGTTAATTTGGTCAATTAAATAAATTTTAATTTGGTCATTTAATTACATGTTAATTTGGTCAATTAATTAAATGTTAATTTAGTTAATTAACTGTCAATTTTGTCATCAAACTAAATATTAATTTAGTTTATTAATAGAATACTAATTCAGTTAAATTATTAATTCAGTTAAATTATTAATTTAGTTAATTAGCTATTAATTTAGTCAATTAACTATCAAATTAGTCAATTATGTAATTAACTAAATATTAATTTACTTAATTAACTATCAAATTGATCAATTAATTAACTAAATATTAATTTTGGCAATTATTTAATTAGCTATTAATTTAGTCAATTAATTAAATGTCAATTTAGTTAATTATCTACCAAAATGGTCAATTAATTAACTAAATATTAATTTAGTCTGTTGATTAATTAAATATTAATTTAGTCAATTAATTTATCGCCGATTCAGTTAATCAATTAAACATTAATTTAATTAATTAATTAGTGAAAATGTTAATTGAGTAAAGCAGGAAATAAGTGAAGAAGAAAAAATAATTGTGAATGAAATATTATCTCAAAAGAGAAGCGAAAGTTTTAAATAAAATAAAATTGTAAATTATTTTCTTGTCAATTAGAAACAAAAAAAACTTTATAAATTATTATTATAAACTTTTTTTTTAATAATAATAGATTGTGGATTATTTATTTTATACCGTGTTTAAAAAAAATATTTTTAATTTTGACAAGAAATTAATGGAAATATTGTTAAAAAAAATAAAAATTTGAAGACAATTTTTTTGTTAATATTTAGGGGAAAAAATGTCTTGCCTTATATAATTATATTATAAGAAATAACCGTATATGTATTATTGAAAACAATTAAGCGCAAGTTCTTTGACTGTATACACTATGGAAAGTAAAACTTCGTCTAGGTACTATAATAATTATAAAAGCACAAATGTCAGTTGTAAGTTACTTTTGTAAATATAGATATCTATAAAAAAAGTAAACGTTTACTGTCTTTAATATTCATTTTATATTTAGAAAAACGTTTAATTTCTTTTCAATTAATATTTAATTTATAATTTAAAAATGTATAAAGGTTTTTAATTTGTTTTGATTGTTTCACGGTTGTTTTTTGCGTGGTTTTTTGTTTACAATTTTAGTTTTTAGGTTAGAAAATTCAAGTTAGGTTAGGTTTAAACGACGAAAATGGTCTTTTTTCTCAGTCGGTAAATGGTAAAATTTAAGAAAAAATAATATAAATATAGACGTATAATTATTAATTTTATAAGATTAATAATATATTAAATAATATATATTATTTAATACCTATAAGGGGCAATTAACTTTTAGTCAATTAAAATGTAAAATACAATTCAATTTGCACATCTGTGCACATCTTAAAAAATATAAATTCAACAATTATTTTGACTAACCGTGTTCTGACCTTCAAAGTTCCCGCCAATTCGGCGCCATTTTGTAGACTCACCACTTACAAAATTTTCACAACACTGTGACTTTTTTTTGGAGTTATTTAAATGACACAAACACTTTTCACTTTAACACTAAGCACAATTGATTAAAACTTGATTCGGAAAATGCAATTTACCACTGGCAATAGAAATCTAATAGCAAAAAAAATTGAGAAAACTGACAAATTTCTTGCCGTCCGGTGTACATTGCACGGCGCACTATTAAACCTTTTTTGTCACTATTTTTAACTCGAATTAACTATGAACAATGATTAGAAACACTTTACAATTGACACTATTCACGATTATTCAATTTCCGACACTGCAAATCACTATCACGACACGGATTTTAATAAAAAAAAGTGATGAAAAATTACGGGAGCGAAGTAGCGAACTATCCCGTGCGGCGACTGGCGGCAAACTGAGAAGCAACATCAACATCACTTCTCAAATTCAAGTGTGAAATTTTTTCAAAAAACTATAAAACTTGGTATTTCTATTTCAAATTCAAGAAAAAGATAAATTTTTAATTATTACGAACAATTCACATTGTTTAGTTTCTACTAAGAAAGAAAGTAGAAAAATAAATGTTGTAATTTATTACTCATTTGACTAGTTCAGTACAAGTCGGCCATCATTTTTCCTCGACCAATCAACACTCTTCTCTCATCACTTTCCAATAATAGCCGCCTTCCGATTGGCTGTGTTCATATTCACCCAGTTTCGTCGTCTGCTCCTCTAGAAATTCTAACCTAACCTAAATATGTGACATATTTGATTGTTTGCATTCTTTGCAATTATTGCAATTTAGTAGTTTTTAATCATCCTTTATTGACAGTTCGTTTAATTCTATTCTACAGTAACAGTATTAGTAAAAGTAACAGAATTTTAATTGTAACATTCAGTACACCTTGTAAAAGTTCTCCCTTTTTAAGAGAGAACAACAATAATACATTTTGAGGTTAGAAAACGGAGATTTATTTCTCTTTTGAAAAATGCAGTTTTCAAGGAAAATTCTTGAATTATTTGAAGAAAAGAAACGAGAAATTTGCATTATTTGTGAAGGATGAGAGGATTTTTTGGGATTTTTAATAATTACGTCGTAACCTTAAAGTGACCCATTGGGTAAGTGTATTGAAAAATTTTTCTATTTTTATAATAATACTTTTATACGCTCTGAAGACTGTAAGACATTATTATCTATATAAAAACTTGCTTTATATTGTTGTACTTTTTAATTTGAGATATTTATTCACTTTTATTTATTTTTTAACGTTTTAAACATAACCTAAAAATATACTTTTCCAACTTTTAGGTTTTTTATTGTTATTTTTTACTGTTTCGTATATTATTAATATTATTTCTTACATTTTAAACATTCTGATTAATTGCTTATTATTAGGAATTGAAAATTTAATTTATCTCACTTTTCTCACTTATTTTTTAATTGTATTATTTGTATTATTATTTTGTTTATTTTTTTTTCTAATTAATATTTTTAGATTGAAATTAAATAATTCTTCTGAAATTAGTCAATTTTTTTTAATATATATTTAATTAATTTAAAAAAAAATGGATTTATAGAAGAATTTAAATCAAAAACACTTTTAAAAAAAGGTGAATTTTGGAGAAGTAAAATTATTGCAGAAATTTAATTATTTTCGAAAATTTGAATAAAATTCTTGGAAAAATTTCAAAAATTTTCCTCCATTCAATGATTTTCAATATTTACTATTTTCATGAAATGTTGGAAAAGAATTTAATTATTTAAAACAAATTATGATAAAATTCTATGCAGAAATTAAATTATTTTCATAGATAATAAAAATTTCACGGGGGAATTCAATTATTTATAAATTTTTTTATAAATATCTTCGCAATAATTTCCATTATTTTCATAAATAATAAAATTCTTTTTAGAAATTAAATTATTTTCAATACAATTTTAATAAAATTTTTCGAAAGAATAGAATTATTTTTAAAATAATATTTAAATTCAATTATTTTCAACAATTTCGATAAAAAATTATTCGAAACAATTCAATTATTTTTATAAATTGTAAAATTCTTAACAAGATTTCAATTATTTTTCTAAATAATAAAATTCTTCTGAGAAAATTAAATTATTTTCAATTCAATTTTAATTAAATTTCTCGGAAAAAGTTCAATTATATTTAAGATAATTTTTAATCAAATTTCTCTAACAGGTTCAATTATTTTTAAAAATTGTAATAAAATTTTTCTAAACAATTTAATTGTTCTCAAAAGTTTTTAATAAAATTTTTCGTAAATTTCAATTATTTACAAAATTTTGAATTGAAATTACTTTAAAAAATTATATTATTTTTACGAAATTTAATGAAATTCTTCAAAATAAAATGTAATTATTTACGAAAACTCTAATAAAATTGTTTAAAAGAATTTAATTTTCTTTGAATAATTTTAATATAATTTAATAGGAAAATCGTTAAATTAGAATTAATAACAAACACGATTATTTTAAAAACTTAAAAGAAATCCTTCTTAAAAATTCAATTATTTTCAACATTTTCAGTAAAAATTATTTAAAAAAACTTCATTATTTTCAAGAAATATTGAAATAAATTCTTCAAAAAAATTCAATTATTTTAAAGAATTTTAATAAAAATCTTGCCAAGAATTAAATTATTTTCAATACAAATTCAATCACATTTTCTCTATGAAGAATTGAATTATTGAAAAAAATGTTGATAAAATTCTTGAAATGAATTAATTATTTCTACGATTTTATATTGTTGGAGAATAATTTTTTTCTTCTCTCAAAAATATTTTTTAGGTGAAAAATGAATATTCCCAATTTGAAGGCAAACAAAACTCCAATAATATTGATACGTGGCCTTGCAACAATATCAAAGACAACAAAAAATCACTACGATACATTACAAGTAAAAACAAATGCCACACAAGAGGAGATAAAATCATCGTATTATGAATTATCGAAACAATATCATCCGGATGTAAATAAAGAAGCGAATGCGAAAGAAAAATTTCGTGACATTACCGAGGCATACGAAATACTTGGTAATTATAAAATTCGTCGACAATACGATCGTGGTATGGCGGCACGTGGTATTCATGTATTTAAACACGCCGGAAGATCATCATCAGCAGCATCAACATCGTCATCATCAGCAACAATGGATGTTGATGATGATGATGATGATAGGGATATTGAACATATGGCATTTTATAAATCACGAATGAGAAATTATCCAAAACCAATTTATTCGTCAAATAATAATAAAAAAATTTTCGATTTTGATTTATGGACACGTGCACATTATGGCGATTCATTAAAACGAACGGTAGATGAAAATCAGCAAAGAGTCGACAGGAACGAAAAAGTTATAACTAAGAAGAGCCAATATTTTAAAAAAGCAAATGACATTTCAGTGATATTTGGAATGACATTTATTATTGTTTGTGTATGTGCATTGTCAATTAGTCAAAGAAATTACGATGATCCATTAGAGACAAATTCTGAAGACGATCAATAACTGTATATAGAAAATTTAGTTTTGAAATTTATTTTTTTTTTTTGTTATAGTATTGAAATTAAATTAATTTTGTTGTTTTTATTATATAACAATTATAATTGTAATTGAGACAAAAAATTTGGATTCTAACAATTGCAATTCCTATGATTCAGAATTTTAATTAATAATTAAATTATTTATTTTATTTATTATTTATTATCAAATATAAATTTCAATAGTTTTAGACTCAGAATTTAAAAAAATTCAATTATTAACTAATTCACTAAATTATAATTATTTATTTGTTTTCAAAAACTTTAATAAAAAATTATTCGCAGGAATTCAATTCTATTTTCAAATAAAATTTCTCAAAAGAATTCAATTATTTTGCAAAAATGTTGATAAAATTCTTTATGAGAATTTGAAATATTTTCAATAGAATTTTAATTAAATTCTTTGCAAAAATTCAATTATTATGAAAAATTTTGATAAAATAATTTCTGAAAAGTGAATTATTTTCAAAATTAATCAAATTCTTCGCAGGAATTTAATTATTTTAAAGAATTCTGTATAAAGAAAGAATTTAATTAAATACTTGAAAATAATTTCGTATTCAATTATTTTCGAAGATGTTAATTAAATTCTCAGGAATATTTCAATTACTTTCATAATTATAAATTTTTTCGCAGGAATTTAATTATTTTGAAGAATTTCAATAAAATTCTTTGCAAAAATTAAATTACTTTGAAAAATTTTGATAAAATTCTTTGCAAAAATTCAATTATTTTGAAAAATTTTGATAAAATAATTTCTGAAAATTGAATTATTTTCAAAATTAATCAAATTCTTCGCAGGAATTTAATTATTTTAAAGAATTTTAATAGAATTCTTTGCAAAAATTCAATTATTTAAAAAAATTTTGATAAAATTATTTCTGAAAATTGAATTATTTTCAAAATAAATCAAATTCTTCGCAGGAATTTAATTATTTTAAAGAATTCTAATGGAATTCATCGCAAAAATTTTAATAAAACTTTTTATTAAAAAAAGAATTTAATTAAATTCTTTAAAATAAAATAATTTTTCTAAATTAAATTTATTTATATTAATTTACAGAAATTAATTTATTTCATTTTGAATAATTTTCTGTAATTAATAAAAAAAAAGTGATTTAGAAAAAGAAAGTTATCTAATTTAGAAACAATTATTCAATCAATAATTAAATATTTTAATAATTAAAATTATTTCCTCTTTAAAAATAATAAAAAAAAATTAATTTTTCTAAATTGAATTATTTTATTCATTAAAAATTACAGAAATTGACGAATTTTAATGGAATAAATTACTATAATTAATATAGGATAAAGTAATTTATTTAATTTTCAAAACTTATTGAATGAATTATTTTAATATTTGAATAATTAAAATTATTTTCTAATTTCTAAAATAAAGCATTAAGAATTTTTTAAAATTAAGTTACTTTATTTATATTAATTTAAAGAAATTAATTTTTTTTATATAGAAAAATTATTGAATTAGTTAGTTTAATGAAATTACATAAGGAGATCAATTTAAAGAAATTAATTAATTTAATTTTGAGAAATTAATTTAATTTGAAGAAATTGATTTCCATTGAATAAATTAATATTATTTAAAGTAATTGCATTAGTTAATTAAATAAAAACAATTTATTCAATTTAGAGAAGGAATAAATAAATAATTATAATTATAATTGTTATATAATAATAGTCGGTGAAGTGTTGAGTCTAATAATTTAGTTGGAGAACAAATTGTTTATTCCAGGCAATAAAAAAATATTTTTTTTCTATTTATTATTTTTTTTAATTAAAAAATTGTTTTCTCAGTTAACTTTTTTTCTAAATATTTTCCTCTCTTTATTTATTTCATTTTTCAATTTTAATTTAAAAAATTTTACTTTGAATTTATGTAATTTTTTCTATAATTTATCTTCAGTGGCTTCTTTTATAATTTAAATTCTTTTTAATTCATCTTTTTTCTTTTCATTTATTTCAAAAACTTTTAATAATCTTTTTCTTTCTATTTTATCTCCATTTTTTAAATTTATATAAAAAGAATTTTGCCTGTAGGTAAATATTTTTAAAATGGAAAAAATATTTTTAAAACAAAACTATGTTTTCAAGGTATTTTTAAAATAATGGAAAAAATTTCGTTTATAAAATATTTTACAATCAGTTATTGATGAAGGCTCGAATTTCGTTTTTCTGTAAATAATATTAATTCTTGTTAGAAATAAAAATATTTTATTTATATTTAACAAACTTTGAAAGTAAATACAAAGTAATTTCTGCGTACTCACAATTAACATTTCTATTTATAATGAGAAATTAATTCTTTGAGAATGGTTTTGAATTTTTCTTTCTTTCTTTCTTTTGGTTTTTTTCTTCAAAACGCTCAACATTTTTCATCTTTAAGATGCGTCTTAGTTAATTTTTTTAAATTTTAAATCTAAATTAAAATTTCCTTTAAATTAATATAGATTTCTAAATGAAATTTAATTTAAATTTAAATTCTATTCTTCTTAGTTGCTAGATTATTTATAAATTTTCAATTAACGTCAAGAAAATTGAGTTTCATGCATTTATTTTTATGCAAAGAAATAAAATTCGATTTTCATTTTTTTACACATACAATTTTTCATTTAAAAGAAAATCGAATTTTACTTTTTTTTTCCTTTTACGTAAATAAAAATCAATTTTTATAGTTCATAGATAGAAATCTTGGTTTAACGTAAAAAAAATTAATTTTTATTCGTTTTCCTTTTAAAAAATGAAAATTGATTTTTTTTTCATTTTTAAATTCAAGAATCCAATTTCTTTTTTATACAATTGTTTGTTCTGTTCTAGAAAATGAAAATTTGATAAAAAAAAATAATGTGTGATTAGTGTTAATAGGGTGGCATTTGAACGGGCATTGGCATCGATACAATGCCTGATGGATATGGCAAGGATGGTGACATTCCAGGAAATTTTCCAATCACTGGATAACCAACAGAACCTCTGTCCTTGGCTTTAATTAATTCCTGCATTTTTTCCACTTTTACCTTTCTCAAATGCACCAATTTACGCAATGATAAATATTGTTCGAGAAATTCGTCGACTTCTATTTCGCCATCCACGAATTTTTTCGCCACTGTCTGAAAAATTAAACAGGAAAAGAGAGAATGAGAGAGAGAGAGAGAGAGAAAATGGAAACAAATTCGCGTGAGTTTTTTTATCAATTTCTTTCCTACCATAATTTTTATATAATAATAATAAAAAAAATTCTTCCTCCTTAACGAAGCAATAGTAAGAAAATAATAAGAAATTTAACATACCTAATTTTCAAAAATTAAAAAAGGGTTTAAATTAAATTGAACAAAAAACTTTCCTTTTCGAAAAGAACAAAAGAATTCAATTATTTTAAAAAATTTTAATTAGTCTTTCACAATTTAATAATTTTCAATAAAATTTCACGAAATAATTAAATTTTTTTCTTAAGAGTTATAAAATTTTTCAAAAAAATTCAATTATTTTCTAAAGTTTTTAAAAATCCTTCGAAACAATTCAATTTTTTAAAATTTTGAATAAAATTCCTTAAATTAATTAAATTATTTTAGAAAATTCTAATTGAAATTCTGAGACGAATTTAATTATTTTCTAAAAATTTTAATAAAATTCAATAATTTATTGTTTAATTTCAATTATTAAGAAACACGATTATTTTAAAAACTTGAAAGAAATTGTTCATAAAATTCAATTACTGTCAAAATTTTCAATTAAAATTGTTAAAAAAACTCCTTTAATTAAAAAAAAATTGAAAGAAATTCTTCAAAAGAATTTAATTTGGATTTTCAAAAATTTTAATAAAATTCTTGTCAAGAATTCAATTATTTTTATAAATAATTAAATTTTTAGGAGAAATTCAATTATTCTCAACATTTTTGGTAAAATTCTTTGAAAGAATTCAATTATTCTCAAATTTTTTAATAAAATTCTTTGCAAGAATTAAATTATTTTCAATACATTAATTTTAAAATTGAAAATACCTAAAAAGAAGAATTATTAAGAAAGCTAAGAAACAAAAAAATCAAACAACAACTAACTTCAAACTGCGAAAAAGAAAACCAACAAAATAAGTGATAAATAACTCTCTTTACTTTTGTGTTTTATTGGAACTTTAAGAGGAATGAAAATAATTTTTTCTAAAAATATATTTTCAAAAATTATATTTACCTCAGACTCTTCATCGATTTCCGATGCAGCTGTTTGAAGCATATCTAATGCCGTATCTACAGTCATTATACCAGGTTTTTCTTCTGCAAAAGAGAAAAAAATTGTACTTTTTTTTAAGATAATTAACAGTTTTTTCTAATTTCTATTTATTGACAATTTACTTTAAAACAATTTTAAAGTAAAAATTTCAATTTAATTATTTTTGAGGGGAAAAAAATTAAATGTGAAAATTCTAAAAGCAAGAGAAAAAAAGAAATTTACTTGAGTTTAGAAACTTTTTTGTTTTTTATTTTCTACTTAAGAATTAAAATTTTTATAACTAAAATATATTTTTATCCGCTTGAGAAAAATGAAATTTTTTATATTAAATCGACAATTTTCAAATTGAATTTCATTTTTTGTTATTTAATTTCAAATTATAACTTCAAAATTTCAATTTTATTTCTTTAGTTTCAATTCTCTATTTTCAATTTTAATTGAAATTAAATACTTCACATTGAATATTGTAATTTTACAAACTGAACTTCAATTATGTTTATTCGATTCCTTAATTTCAATTTTAAGTATTTATTTTTAATTTTTTACAAATTTAGCTTCACAATTAGTTCCAATTTTTAAAAATTGAAGTTGAATTCTAGTTACTTAATTTTAGTTCTCTAATTTTAATTTCAATTCAATAATTTTAATTGAAATTAACACATTAAATTGCAGTTTTTCAAATTGAATTTTAATTTGACTTATTCGATTTCAATTTTAATTGTTTTGTTGTTTTGAACTTAAATTTTTCACTTAAAATTGTAATTTTTCAAAATGAATTTTAATTGTTTAATTTGAATTGTAATTCATTAATTTGAAATTTATTTCTTTAATTTTAATTTTAATTTCTTAACTTTAATTTCTAATTCTATACTTTCTTAGGGCTTTTAAATGTAAATCTTACTTATTTCGTCTAATTTCTCATTAATGCTTGAACAAAGCAAACTTCCTTTTTCACTCAATTCACGAAGTTCTTGCTTCCCCTCTTCTAATTCCGGTTGTTTTGCTAAATTATATTCGGCCAGTGATCTGTTACTTGCCATCAACATTTCTTTCTCCGTTTCGTATTCCTTAAACTGCAAAAATGATTAAAGAATTAATGAAAAAATTATTTTCCAAAAATATTTTTTTTGCGAATTTGTATTTCAAAAAATTATAAGAATTTAATTATTTTCAATATAATTTTAATTTGAATTCCTGCTCAAAAGAATTTCATAATTTTCACAATATTTAATATAAAATTCTTCAAAACAATTAAATTATTATCAAAAATTAAAATAAAATTCTAAGCAAAAATTAAATTACATATTTCAGATTCAAAATTATAGAAACGTTACAAAAATTAATATAAAAAAATATTAAAAATAATATACGTTAAAATAGAATATTTCACATATAAAATTTTGAAAAATAAATTAATTCATCAATTTTCCTATTTACAAAAAGAAAAATTTGGTTAAAGAAAAGTATAATTAAAAAATATTATTTAGAAAAAATGTTATTTACAAAAATATTATTTTCCATACGAAATGTTTAAAAAAAATATTTATTCAATGTAAGGGAGTAAAAACTAAATATTAAGAAAAATAAGTCAAGTGGCTGAGTATTGAAGTTTAATTCTACTTAATATTTTCATTACTCATTTAAATATATATACATTCAGTACAAAAAATTTCTTTTGAAAATTAAAATTACCATTTTCTAGAACATAATTATAATAAAAAATAAAAATTTTTCCAGTTTTCTGGTAAAGAATAATGAAAATTCGATATCTTACTTGTTCGACATTTTTAATAACCTCCTCAAATTTCTCATCATCATTGAGTAATTCCTTTAATTCGTCATTACTCAAATTAGCAATTATTCTCAAAGCAGCTGGTGTGTCGAGCTCAAAATTTTGTTTATACATTTTTTCTTCACTCTGCTTCCTTTATTTTTATATAAATATTTTTACACCCTGGTTTTTAATGCAGACAAATCTAAAACGTACTTATTTCACTTGTAATTATCAGCGAGAAAATTTCATTCTCAATAGACACTTAATTGTTCCAATAATTAATATTTTGCACTATATTTTTGCTTTTTTTCTCCTTTTTCTCAATATTTTCTTCGTTTACAAATAATTTTTGTTTGGAAATGTATCTTTTGTGTAAGTGACATTTCTCCGTGACGTTGTGACACACAAAAGGTTAACAAAGTCTGCCAACTTGAATAAAAATAAGAGATTATTTATTTTCTTTATTTTCTAACCTCTGTGTTTACAGAGAAAAAAAGATTTTTCCAGTAAAAATCATTTGGGATCGAATAGATATTTTTTATTCTGTTATTTTCTATACAATATTTTTTTTTAAATTGATTTTATAAATCAGTTTTTTCAGTATTTGAATTTCTTTGGGTTAGAAAATTTTGTTACGTTGGTAGTACTGTGAGAACAGTGGACAAGTTCCATGTGACAGTCATTTTCCCCCCGACCAATAGAATTTCACGGGGTGGAAAATATGCACGAATTGGAGTTGAACAAGTAGGGCCAATCGAATCCTTTGATTGGTTCCTATTTTTCCAGTGCTCTACATGTAAACCCAGCAAAAGACTTCATTGTTTCCCGCGCGTCGTGTAGTGAAAGTGAGGTTATGTTAACAGTGAAAATTTCATTCTGTAAAAAGTGTTCGCGTTTTTTTCCCCCTAAAAAACGAGTTTTCCCCTTTGTTTATTTATAAAGAATCTACAAGTTGTTTGTGACATACGACGATGTGAACAATTTTTCCCATTTCCCACCATCTTGATGAATATCGTATCGTGCAGCCACGTGCAAAAAGGCCTTGAGGAGAGGAAATTATCTCGAGTATTTCAGAATAATCATCTCCGAAGATAAATTCATCATCTCAGATAAGGTATGTACAAATTATGTCTGTCTGTGTGTGTATATATTTTGGGGGGGAAAAAAAACAAAGCACTTTAATTTCTTCATCCTTGAAAATCACGAAGAGAGCTATGTCATCCAAATATGCGACAAAAGTCCGTTATAAATTTTTACTCTTCAATTCCCTCCCAATTTTATCATTTTTTATCATAGGTTTTAATTTATTTTTTCTTTTTACCATTACCAATTTTTGTAATAATAGAAATCCAGAAGAAAATTTTCTCCATTTTCAATATTTTTAGAGATTTATTCTACGAAACGAAATGTACGTTTTTTTCTCCGTAATTTTTTTTAGAATTCATGGAAATGATTTGTTGCTTTTTTTAACAAAAAAAAAGAAATAATAAAATCGTTTCGCAGTATAATTAGGTCATTAAAAATAAATTAAAAGTTCGAGGAGAAAATAAGTACTTTACATATATTTATTATTTATTAAATTTATTGAGAATATTTGAAAAAATACTCGTGGAATATTTGAGCATCGAAATATATTATTTGATCAGTTTTTTCTCTTTTAATGACTAATGGAATAATATCGTTTTTGGACAAATATTTTACAGACGATTATAGATTCTAAAATAAGGTAAATTAAAAACTAAATATTAGTGTATTTGTTAAATTAGTAAATTAATGAGAAATTATTATTAGAATTTTTTTTTTAATATATATAAAGAAGTAATTTGCTGTATAAGTTTTGAACCTCGTTAGATCGTCTTTCCTCCTTTTTTTTCTCCCCTTCCCCCCTCGCGTTGTATCACGTCATCCCCCTTGCCCACAATCGTTTTTCTTCTCTGTAAAAGGAGCGTCTGCAAAATAATATCCATTTTTCTCCGCAAAACAATTATTATTACAGTTTTCATTTTACATTATATATATGTATCTTGATAATAATAATTTCTAGAGAGTCTTTTAAAAAGTGTTCTAATTAAATACTAATTTTTTTTTAATTAACTATACATGTTTTTAATTACAATTTTCTTTCGAATTCGTTTTTCGTAATTAATTTTTCTTTTCAATATTTACTTTTTTATTTTATTTTCAATCTAAATTTAAATATTTAGGTTTTCTCTTTGCTTTCAATTATTTAAAGAAGAAAAAAAATCATTGGAATACTAGGAATTTTTCCACAATCATTATAAATAGTGTGAGAAGAATGGAAGATGGGGGGGAGGGGGAAAATAACATTGAATGAAGGAAAATATATGTAAAAAAAAATAAAAAAACCAATCTAAATTGGAAACTCTTCATTCATTTTTGCCTTCAGCGCTTTTGTGAAGATATTATTCCAACTTGTATTTGCTTTATAATATTTTCCACTTTGAATAATATTATTCGTTACGTTTTCCTTTAAAATAATTCAAAATTCTTTTTCATGAAAAGCAAAAAAAAAAATTGGAAAAAAATTTTAATTTAAAGAAAAATCGATAGATAGGGAGATATTTGTTTTCTTCTTTCTTGTGAAAATTTAATATTTTTCTATTTTCATTTGAAAGTAAAGTTTTTCTTTTATGACCTTTATGGAGAATTTTAATTTATTAGATAGTATTTAATAGAATTGGATTTTTTAAAATATTATTTAGTTTTCTTTTCAATACTTTTGTACTAAATTATAATATACATATAATTATAAGTATAATCCTATATTTTTTGTAATAATAATAAAAATAATAATAATATAATATCTATAATAATATTGTAGGTTTTATATTATATATTTTAAAATATAGTAAAGTTATTTTATATACATTAGTATAATTATTTTAAAAACTCAAAATAATTATAGTTTATTCTAAAAATTCGTGTTCTTTTTAAATTTTAATTTTTGAGGAGCATTTTTTGGCTAAAATCTGTGGAAAAAATTTTTTTTTTTTGCTTTTTCTTTTTAAAATAAAAAGAGAAGAAATATTTTGTTCCCCAGCGAGGGGGAGGAAAGGCAGGGGGGGAGAGGGAGAAAAAACATTATAATCCGATCCTGAATTGGCGATTCTTCTCTCTCGCTCGTCAAAACGGGATTCTTTCCTTTTCCGTTCACCTCTTGGACTCGTGTGTTTGTTATCCGGTGAGGCGACGTTGCCATATTTATTAAATGCGACGTTGCCAGCTCTCTTTGGTTGGAATTTCTTTCTCTCTCTCTTTCTCGCTATCTATCTCGCTCTCTCATATCTATTCTCTCTTTCTTTTTCATCTAGTCTCCCTCGTCCTCTCTTTGCGACCGGGATCAGCTACGTTTTCTCTCTCGCTTGTTATTTCTATCTTTCTCTCTCTCACCCCACCCCCCTTCCACCCTCTCTCTCTCTCTCTCCATACTCTCCTCTCGTCTTTATGTAGGCAGCCAGCTTGCTTGCTTGCTTTTGCTCGATGCAATGCCGTACATAAAATATCCATCACCCACGTGGGGAATGAAAAATTCAATCTTTAAAAAAAATCCCCCCCTCCCCTTTATCCCCGGGTTTTTGATAATTTTAAGAAATTTTTTTTTTTTTATCGAAGGGCAATTTTTAATAAAATTGAATTTATTTTTCGTATTTAATATTTAATACTTATTTAATTAATTATTAAAAATTATGAATTTATAGAAGAATTTTAGTTACAAACACTAAAAAAATTGAATTTTGAAGAAGTTACAAATATAATTGCAGAAATTTAATTATTTTCAAAAGTAATAAAATTCTTCACAGAAATTCAATTATGTTAAAAAATTCTCGTCAAAATTTCAAGTATCTTTGTAAATATAATAAGATTCTTCTCTAAAATTCAATTATTTTCAAAAGTTTTCGTCAATTCCATGATTTTCAATATCTATTTTAATAAAATTTTACAAAAAAGTTCAATTATTTAAAAGAAATCTTGATCAAATTCTAAGCAACCATTTAATTATTTCCATAAATAATTAAAATTTCACAGTAATTAAATTATATTTACAATTTTTTTTACAAATTTCTTCTTAATAATTTAATTATTTTCATAAATAAAATTCTGTTAAAATTCAATTATTTTCAAAAATTAAAAAAAAACTTCTTATCATGATTTCAATGATATCTTTATAAATAACAAAAAATCTGAATTAGTAGTTTTCTACTAATTAAATAGTGCGGATTTGTTTACTAATTGAATTAGTAACAATTTTGACTAATTTTTAGTAAAAAAAACTACTATTTGTTAGTAGAAATCTACTAATTCATTAGTAAGTCGAATTTTTTACTATTTCAAATTAGTAGTTTTCTACTAACAAATAGTAGTTTTTTTTACTGAAAATTAGTCAAAATTGTTACTTATTCAAAATGGTAAACGAATCTACACTATTTCATTAGTAGAAAACTACTAATTAAGATTTAGAGAATAAATTTTCAACTTAATTTTCTTTAGAATAAATGTTAATGTTGTCATGTCGGTACTTTTATAAAAATTGATAATTCTTTAAAAATTATTAAAAAATCTACTTAACATTTTTTTTAACTTTTTATTCGAAAAAAAAATTACAAATGAGAATAAGGGAAAAAAAATTTACTTTTCTATTTGAATATATATTTTTATATGTATTTATGTGTGAATAAATTTTATGTAGATTTTTCAATTTCTATTTCGTTGGGCTTTATTATAAAAAGAAAGAAAATCAGAAAAGAAAAAAAGTCATTTGCCATAGTCGAATCAGTATGAGCTTTGGAATGAGTCATATGTCAGGGAATTCGCAGAGAAAAGTCCAATTTCATGAATATATATATATATATATATATATATATATATATATATATATATATATATATATATATATATATATATATATATATATGTAACATGATGTATAATCTATACCTAGCCTTGATGTCAAGCGCGTACAATAGAATATTGCACAATGATAACGGAGATAATTTAATTCGGTAATTAATTTTCGTGGGTTCTTAGTCACATAAATACTTATACTGAGGCCAAAATTACATTATTAATAGTAAATGTGTTTTTTTTTTTGTAAAAATGAAATATTTGTATACTTTTATACCACCACAAAATTTTCACCTTAATAGAATTTTTACTTATAGTAGAATTATTAACAGAATTTTGACTTAATATAATTTTTACTTATTAATTTTCACTTCGAACAGTTTTTTACCTATTAAAATAAAAAATATATTTATTTTTATAAACCTATTGGTTTTTTAATTCTAAAGAAAAAAAATTTCCTTTAAAACAAAAGCATCTTTAAAAATAAAAATTTTTTCAAGGGAATTCAATATGAAATCGAGGTACATTTTAAAATTCGCCGAAATTT